ATATTATTTTATATTATATCTATAAAAATTGGTTGTTTTGTTCAATTATAAATATAAAAATATTTGATTAGTTAATATATTTGTCACTAAAAAATTGTAAAATAAAATCTCGCGCATCGCGCGAACTATATTCTAGTTTAATAAACGGTTTACTGTTGAAGTGTGATTGGCAAAAGGACTTTAAATGTTGTAGAAACTTTACAAAATATTGATTTAGTGTCACATTTCCTCTCCTAAATTTTCTCATAGCCCTTGACTCCTTTTTTTTCTTCATAGTCGACACCTTTTTTCGAAAGCTAAAAAATATGGCTTTCATTTTTTTTTTAAAGTCACAGCTTCTATTTAAAAGTTAAACTTTTTACAGTCATAGTTTAAAATAAAAGTTTACAGCATCAGTCCTAACCAAAACACATAGACTTGTGGAAATGTATTGGGCTCGTCTCATAGTATGGCTTGATAAAACATTTCATACAAAGAAAAACAAAATATTATTTTATTCAAATTGATTTTGATATATATTTTTGGGTATTCAAGTTGAATCAAATACAAAGAGAATACAATTTCTCCTGGAGAAGTTTAATTTTTATACATATATATATAACAAATTAAAGCTCTTTAAAAGAAATTAGAAAAATTGTCTATAGCATTTTTGGCAGCACAATTACGAGCACTATCTTTCTTGACAAGATGGTGTCCACGTCCAACCAAATGATCTTCAATAAAGACACGAATGTTTTTATCAACTTCCCAAGTACTATCGTCCAACCTCACTTTCAAGTTCTTCTTCTGACACATCTCATAAAGTTGTGTCATTGGATGGTTCACTAATTTCTCTAAAGGTATTATTGGCTCCAACAATGGTTTTACCACCTATACATATATATTTATTAATTCAACAAAAAGAATAAAAAATCATCGATTAATCATTTACCCAAAATCTAGTAAATCATATATATAAAGAATTAATTACCTCCCACACGGTCTCGATGGAGTTAGAGTCGATGAAAAGAGCTCCAATGGTAGATTCTACAATGTCTGCTAGAGATTTTGGGACTTTCAAGAGCCCACGTGAATGTAATGGATATCCTTCTATTGCTTTTGCAAATTCCAATATCTACAAGATGAGATAGTTGTTATATTTGCAAAAAGTTTTGTGTATTGAGAAAATTCATCAAATAATTTTATTCTAACAACTTTAAGAAATCAATAGATATCTACAATATTTTAAAACTTCTGTGTTTATGAATAAAATTGTCAAAAGTTCATATTTCAAAAACATTAGATTTGAGTAAAATTATGGAATAACAATAACAATCAGTGAAAACCAATTTTTCCAATAACAATCGATTATAAATGTCATTTTAAAAATCATCAAATCAATAACAAATGATTCTATCAAGAATATCAAATTCATAAACCAATAACAATGGATTTCAATAAACATTTCATAAATTATAAACTAAGAACAATGTAATATGAAAATTCTAATAATTTAAAAACTTCATCTACATATAATCCTCTAATATTGTTTCACATCTCATTAAACTTTTTCTTAAAGAATTTTGTACAAAAAAAAACAGACCATAAATAACCAAAAATATCAATTGATGAGAATTTATGGATGAAACTGAATGATAAAATGTGTTGTGATTTCCTACCAGAAGTCACCTGATTATGATATAAATGTACCTTTGAATAAATAAATTTATTAATCACAAAATATACAATGGAAGCCTAAAATTGTCGTGCCTAGAAAAAAAAAGTAACGTCACTTTGTCACGTTTTGAGTACCTAATCATTCAATCAACCAATAGTAATTAAACATGATCAAAATATTAATAAATGGAAAGTAGAAAGCAAATAAGGAAAAAATAACGATGAGTTAGGGTTTTTGACTTACTTGGTCCTCAAGCAAGGGTTTCTTATGACGGAGGCAGCGATAGAGATTGTGTTTTACAGCGACTCGAGCCAATTTCTCAGTATCAACGTTAACCGCTCGGAGATTGGTTAACAAACCGGGTGAAGAATCCGGGTAAACAAAATATAAATATCTGGTTATTACCAAATTTAGTACCGTATCTCCTATGAATTCTAGCCGCTCGTACGAATCGCGGTTTTCGTAGAAAGTTGCGTCTGTGAACGCTTCTTGCAGCAAACTCTTGTCTTTAAACTCGTAGTTTAAGATCTTCTCCACGTATTCGATGTCCAAAGGCCGGTCCTGATCATCCATAGGGTCTTCGGGTCGTGATCCGTTGATTTTGGTGTTGGTTTTAGCTCCGAGGCTCAAATTCGCGTCTGCGTTTGAGAGTTGCGTTTCCATAGAGTCGAGAGAGAGAGAGAGGTCTCTTTCTAAGGTGTTTGTTTCTTGTTCTTGTTTTTCTTCCGTCATAACTCCTTTTTTATACACGTCTCCTTTTATAATATTGTTTTTTTTTTTAAACAAACCTTTTATAATATATTTTTTTTTTTTTGTGAAACTAACCTTTTATAATATTGTTATGGTTTCTTCAATATTGTTAAATTTGTAAGGAGTAAGGAAAAATCAGTATTCAATTGATTTTTAGCTATTAAATATAGTAGATTCTCATTAATTTTTTGTTTTTAATTTATGATTTGTTTCGACCTAAAAAAGAATAGGGTCATTATCACATTCACAACACGTATTGACTAATTAATTACATATATCATACAATTCATTTTTTAAAAACCATTTTAGGATTTTTTTTTTCACAAAGAATATCATACAATTTATAAAGTAATCCAATTTGATCAATTTAAATTAATATTATAAATAATCATTTTAAAGTTGCAGTTGATAAAAAAAAATTATTAAGTAGAGAGAGAGAGGAAAAAGCTAAGTTTTAGTATTTGCTAAATCATTGAAAAAAATTATGGATATGGTTAACTGATCATTGTAGATTTCTAGTTTCTAACTTGTGTGAAAAATAAAATTAATTTTATATACAAAAAATTGTGCTTCAGTTTATATACATAAATTTTTCTGTTTATAAACTTTGTGAGTTCCGGATTTTTGATCTATAATCTCTCGCGGTGCCCGAATTTTGATAATAATTTATATACATTTTGGCACAAAAAAATGTAATCTAAAAGAAATATGGGGGCATGTCGCCCCGTTTAACCTTGCAATTTAATACCAAGAAAAAGAAATTTTGTATTAGCAAATTGTGCTAATTTACAAATTCTTATAGGAATAAGGAATCTATAAATAAACATCATGCTTAGAAGTCAGAACGTATAATTTGAGACGGCAACGAAAAAAAAGAAGTTGACTTTGACTTTGTAAAATGAATGTGAATTTGGGTTGTCGATTTGTTCTTGACAATGACATTGAACCCTACTAATTGACTAAAAACAAAGAAACAAATGTATTTATTAGAATGATGAATTTGATTCAGAAAGCAGAAAAAGTAGCCCTGGGCATAAATACTTGTTACTCGGCTTGTTTCCGTTACTCGTCCCGTACTCGTCTTGAAAAAACAAGTATTTGTCATGGTCAAATCGAGTAACAAGTCAACATATTATATAATTTGCAAGTCCGGACTAAGTATCAAGTCAATAATTTTTTTTTTACTATACTCGTTTATATTATTTGGCATGATACTCATTAATAATATTCATAAAAAGTATTTTATGCTCGTTTATATTACTTGATACTCATTGGTTAAGGTCTTTAACATTTGACGGCATAACTAAACCAAGTCATTTTGAGGTTTACATGAGTATGTGTTATGATCATTCTTACAATTGTCATGTTGGTTTAATGGTTTTATAAGCAGGAAAAAAAAATCAAGAAGAAAAATACTATGATGTGGAGCATTGAACCAAAAACTTGTTTTTTTTTTAAATGTTACCTTTTGGAACTTTAATTTTATGATTTAATGATGTTTGAATTTTGAATGTTTTTTAATTTGAATAAAGATTAGTTTTATATTTAAATAGTTTCAAGTAGCAAGTATATAATTTGGCAAATAACAAACCGAGTCAAATCACTTGCAAGTAATAGGATTTTGGACATAGCAAGTACTTGTTCCGGACGAGTCAAATATCAAGCCAAAATTTCTGTTACTTGAACAAGCCAACTCGGGCCACAAGTACTTGAAAATTAGTAAGCACTCGGCTTGTGTCCAAGCCTAGAAAAAGTATAAAAAGAGGGGTAAAGAAATGCATAGGGAAATTTCAAAAAAAAATAAAAATGCATA